TTCTAGGGGAGGATTATCGGACTGCATTTTGCTACTACTGTGCTTAACCATTGCGGTGCGCCCCCCTGCTTATGCTTCGCGCTTGTAAACCCTTCGTGACCCAACCGCCATCGTGGCTCGGTGGCGCAGTAGGTAAGTGGATGGACTCACAGTCGTGCGATGATGGGGTTCGAGTCCTTGATGCGTTTCCGTCTATTTTGCTTTTTCTTGAAACGTGCCTTCAATCACTTGGGGAAGCTAGTTTCTGGCATACCTGATACGACCACCAGAAAATTCTGCTCTCCTATTGAGGCCCCGGCGAACTGAATTTTCCGTGAAAAATTACACTTCCTACTTAACTCGTTCAGCAAAGGTCAAATACCATCATATTCTGCCTGGAAGTACGTGATCCTGGCGATAATTTCACAGCCCTCCTATAAAATGACGTGGTGTGGGCATACGGAAAGATTCAACATGTTCGTACTCTTAATCACCGCGCCACGCACACAGTATACCAACACCTCTATGCGACCTGTGTCCTTAAAACGAAAATAACTGAAAGTAATATTAAGGCACTGTTAAAACTACTCCTACCTCCAGAAGAGCTCAAAAAAATTGTTTCTCGCGAACGTTTGTCTACAGAGCAGATTCTTATGCCGCTGCATCATGTTTTACTCGTTTCCCTAAGCCTGGCGTCATTTGGCGCTCTTATGCTACCAATTTGAGCGCCCACCGACTTTTTTCTGCGATAAGTGATGAAAACTTGCATATGGGGGTTAATTGAGGTCCTGATTAAGAATATCACACAGGTTTCCAGAGTTGGCGCGATTTGGCGCCATGATGCGCCAATATGGCGCCAAATTGGCGCATAATGGCGCCAAATGACTCCAGCGCTCGAAACGAATGTGATATTCGTGATCTGGGCATCGAATTACACCTATAGGCAACGTTTCAGCGAAAAAGGTTTTTTGAGTTTTCTGGGGTACGAATGAGTGTCAATGTCAATTACAAGGTTGTCGACAGGACAATCTGTTACAACCAACCTTGTAATTGACCTGCGAGGAAGATAGCTCGTAGAAGACGATAATACGGATCCTCTCTGATCACGTGTGATGGCGATGAAGAAAGTTCCCTAGGAGCTAGAAGAACAGCTACGTCACTTTCGGGATGTAAAGGTCCCGATAGAGAAGGTAGTTCGCTTGTACCCATTGCCCACTTATGGACTTCACTTTATACAAGTCCATATCAAGTATGCGTGTGGTTGAAGTGAATGAAGCCATTGCCTTCTACCGTTCGAGTGCGAAAAAAGTCGCATTATCTACAAAAATATATGCGTTAAATAAAGCTGCCATACCAACGCTATGAAAATGAATGCTTTCACTGAAGTCAAAATGAAAAACCCCTCTCAAAATTCAGACATAGGGTCTAATAAGCAGCAGGGAGGGGTCTTGGTGGTCGTACAGGTATGCAAAACTACTTCCCAAGTGTTGAGCGCACGTTTCAAGAAAAAGCAAAACTACGAAACGCATCAAGGACTCGAACCCCCATCGCACGACTGTGAGTCCATCCACTTACCTACTGCGCCACCGAGCCACGATGGCGGTTGGGTCACGAAGGGTTTACAAGCGCGAAGCATAAGCAGGGGGGCGCACCGCAATGGTTAAGCACAGTAGCAAAAAAGGTCCGTAACTCCTCACCCAGAATCGTTTAGCAGATTTGGAAGCCAGATTTGATATCAGCGTCCGAAGACGCTTCTAGGAGTATACATCTCATTCTGAATGGCCAGGACGAGTTGGTATCCTTCCCTTGTCAGTAATTGGATCACAGAGCCAGGAACGTTGACGCAGCTTCAGTTTTGGAGTGAAGCGCGTCTAAGGCAACGTAAGCACAAAGTGAGAAGTTCCACAAGGTTCGCAGCATGTACCACTTTCGCGATTCGAAAATGCTCGAAATAACCGTCACGGCCTAGCGACGATAAGCTAGCTCAGCCTCCGTGACCTCGATCCACCTCTAACTTTCGTTTTACCTACGTTATGTAGCGACGGGTTCACAGGAGATGACATGACCAACAGAATGCCTGATTAAACGTTCCACCATCTCTGGAGTGGCAGCCAGGGCACATCATTGGTTGAGGAAATCCCCATATGGGGGGGTCGTATTGGCCTCCAGGAGAGGGGGGGGGTCGTAATGAGGGCGGTAGCCAGTATCGAGCAGCGCAAAGGTCTCAGTGTGCTGAGTCCAGAGTAGCGGAACTCGCTTTGTAGAGAACTCGGATATGTAAAAGAAATAGTAGAAAACTTTCAACCATCAATTAATCCGAAATAACTGAAATTATTATTATAGATAACGCTTCGACATTATCCTCGAAGTCCGTTGATTGGACTGAACAGTAGCAGCACATCATAATCTCTGGTTCGCTGCGGATGATGGGGCGTGTCCGCGATTACGCTTGGCGCTGAGCCAACCTCTTTTTTCAACAAACGACAGGACTACCATATCGTTCGTACCAGACGTTTTCCAGCAGTTGGTCTTCCTTTATCGGAGACTAGACAGCAATTGGCGGAGCACACATCTGGCGGCGTCGACACAGACACGCTCCATCATCGCAAGGGAAAACACTGTAAACAAGTGCACAGGTTCGCCATGGATCTCCCTGAATCCTATAGACACATTTGCTCGCGTGGACAGACATTACGCACAAATTGCACCATCCCTTCACCTCTGCGCGGACCTCAGTGCGCGGCGCACAAAGTCAGCGTGAGTCGGCGCTAAATCGAACAGCCCGACACTAATTCTGCAATCCTGCTCCACCAAGAATTACGTTTTTCATGCATTCCTGGCTATTCGAACACGCTCACTTGAAACGGTACACAGGAAACGGGTTTTTCGCGCAGCTGGGAGTGTTCCCCAAGAAATCCCCATAGCGAGATCTCTCATGAATCCCGAGAACTTCGGAAACAGCTCAAGAGGTTTTTAGAAAGAGCTTTAAACACTCGAAAATTCGTTCATCAGATATTTGGTGAGACTGTTTGATTTAGGCAAAAAATGTAATTCTCAAACCTGTTCAGTTGAAATCACTCCCCAACGAATCCTTATGGCAGATTTCTCTGTGATTTTTGCGACCTTCATAAACGTTTCAGTACTTTTAGGAAGTGCAAACCTTCCTCTACACGAATACGGTCTCCTCTTCCCACAGGTCCGCTTTTGAGGAAGTTATGGTCTTCAATGACACCGCCACTTTGCCTGAAAAGTTCGCCGTCGCCAGTGCTAAAATTGCACGAATAAGTCTCCAGTGCACGCGCTGGCAATTACATACGCATTTTCTGCTAACCGTAACTCACCTATCTCGGTTATTGGCAACTTTTAGCAGCAGTATATGAGGTTCTTTTTTGTTTTTTTTTCTGTGTATGCGTTTTTGTTTCTTTTTCGTTTTAGTCATAGTCTCAATTAGAACTCGTATTTATGCTGTGTTTATGCTACTCATCTACATCCTGTTTTTGATTACAAACGCTTGCACATAAGTAAATCAACTCAACTTAGGTAGGACTGTTTATATCTATTTTTTATATCTAATTGTTTATATCTAATTTCAGGAAGTATGTAACGTCAAACAGTAAAAGGGGGGGGGTCGTTCGTACCGAACCCTCAAAAAGGGGGGGGGGGTCGTACAGGCTCGACCAAAATCCCCATCGAATGCTGTGCCCTGGTGGCAGCTCATCATCGGCGTTCGTCCAGCGATGGATGATGTCTGTGTCATCACACCTTCCCTTCCAAGATCACTTGTTCAGTAGCAGCCCCATCAGAAAAAGATGTACGTTAATGTAGGTGTATGTAGACGTTCGCGGACAGGAAAGCACAGTTAAGCGAGGTGGAATTCTATCACATCGCCTGGTGAAAATGATGAATGGCTCCAGAGTCAATGACTGTTCGCACACATCGCCAAAATTTACTAGGTAGGAGGTAGAGTGGACGTGGCTGCGTATTTAAGTTAAATTGGAGGCGGCTACGCTCTTGGTCTGTTGCCGCTTGCGGACAATTGTTTCTTTCATGCCCTTGTCCAGCTCAAGACAGGACCCGTAACAGAAAAAATGACAGTTGCCTCAAACGGGAAATCTACGTCATGTTGACATTGAGTGTGAAACATAAAAGTAATACGTCTGATGTTCGGATATTGGTCAAGGATAATCGTGCAAGAACAGCGTCTCTCGAGAGCTAGTAAGGCATCGTTCAAACTTCGCGACGGCAGGGTTCTGGTCGCGGGTGCGACGCAACCGGTCATGTGAGCGATCGCGTGTAACACGTCTGATTCGATCGTGCTCATACTCAATCTGGAAGAACCGCTACTTCAACGACGCATTCGTATATTTTTCCCTTTTTGCCTATGCTTCTTTTAGCCTTCATTTTACCTTCCTATCTACCTCATTCTTTTCTCATTGCGCTTCTATTGTTCCGTCTGCTGTCATTTTTTTGCTACTTTCAAACACATTCTACGAGCTATTATGATTTTTTATTACAATTTCTTATGTGCATGCTCTTTGTCGATTGTGCGAAGGTACTTGATTGCTGAGATCAGTTTCCTTAGTTTCACTATATGTGTGTTCATGTGTATGTTTGTGCTTCACAGCTCTTTCATACCCTGTTTTACTAGCCCTTCCTGAACCCTTCCTTCCGATGGCGAGTAGTTTCTCCTTGTTCTTCTTTTTTTTGGCTATAATGTGATGATGTTAATGCGTCTAATATGTAAGTTAAGCATAGTTGTTCTTTGGGTGATTTTTCGTTTTTTTTTCTTCGTTATTCCTTCCTGTTATGAACGTTGATTGAGAAAAAGATGGGAAAGCAAGAGAATAAAGTGAAAGCCAAGGGATAGATAGAGGAGACAAAAAAGGAGAAACCAAGGAATACTTCGTTGAAGCAGCGATCCATTCAATAGCATTGCAGTGCGACCAAAGCGCTGCCGTCATGAAGGCGAGTCTGCCTAGCGGGCGTTCGTTCGCCGCCAGATTACAACCAAATGTAAATGTTCACGACACACCCATCCTCCTTTGCAAATTTACCTGTAACAACACGGTGCTCCAGGAGATGTAAGCATCGGCATTCATGTAGTCGTACATGAAGTCTATAGCTCGTGACAACCAACTCCACAATTCATTGAGCACTTTGAACCCACGATACTTCGTTCCCATTGCCACCCCGGCGAAAAACTCCGCAGCAAGCCTTTGCTGAGCTCGCTGCAATAACCAATATTTCACAAGCTGCTTATTGTGACTCTTCAAGGCATATTTCATACTGATCGCATGGGCGTATGACTGTATCTCCCTCGCTGATGCGCCCCTCCCTTTCTGAATTCTGAACCATAAAGTAAGGAAGAAGGGCCGCTCAAATGAGAAAGGCACAATCGTGTACCTAATCCCGCCACATAGTCTGCGTGGAATGCTATCAAAACTACCTGACGAGATTTCAGCAGTTCCATGAGGGCTTTTGTGATATTCTGATAGATGATAGTGCTATCTGGGAAGTTTCGAAGAAGGTACTGAAAACAGAGTATGATGTCAACAAGAATGATTGTTCGCGGCAGCTAATTCAGGTGGCGTCTTGCCTATAAGCCATAGAATGTCAGACTTTGTCAACTCTTAGGTATTACTCCATCCCTGAATGTCGTTCTCTGCCTACGCAAAAGAAATTGGACGTCGTAGCCTCTCTCCCAAACGATTACTGCCCATTTATAGCTAGAGTTATCGGCTAGAATGCGGTTATCGCCTCTGCACCCTTGTAGAGAAAGACACCAACATCCGTGTATACGGTGAACAAGAGTGTTTTCCGACTGTGATCTGAGTCAGACTTACCTTGACAATCCAGACAGTGCTTTCCTTGAGTTCCGCTAAGTCTCGCTTCTCAATGAGAAGCAGGGTAACCCATGTAGTGAATACTTGTGGATCTTCAAATGCCGCCACGATTGCCTTTTCACATTCATTCAGCTTTGGCCGGTTAATCTGAGGCCGCCTAGCGAACACGACAACACTAATCGTCCTGAAATCGATGAGAATCGATCAAATGTAGGCTGAAGCCTCACTCTTTTCTAACATACTCCGGCCATTTGTAGCAGCCAAACTGTTTGGAGAAGAACACTGTGCTATTCCACTTCTCTTCAGTATCGGGAAGATTTTCTGAATCGTAGGCTAGGCACATGTTATCTGGACGGATTCCGCATTTCAAAGGGACTGGGTCGGGCGGCTAAAAGAGTAAGCTGCAGAAAATAAATGTTATCGCAATAATCTCAACGTTGACAATTGTTGCAGCCTCGCCATGCGGTCGAGTGATTAACTACTTTTGCCAGACGAGGTTGTTAGACGAATCTTTCATTGGCCCGACGTTTCGAGCCTCTCGTATACTTCAGAGACCAGAAAACTGTTGGAAGGCTCCAGTTTGTTACCTATCCGACCAAACGCCTTTCCCACTCTAGCATTTGCGACGTCGTGTCTACAACACTCCTGAACAACCGGCAATAAGTGCAAACAATTCAACGAATGTCCCAGCGTGCGAAACCTTGCTCACGCTGTGTGTTGATGATCAAAGAGTTAGGCTCCCCCTGGTGGGGCTTCCGGTAGTTTTTTTGCATTTCTTACCGGGTTGTTCAGAAGCGTTTGCGACATAACGTCGGAAACTAGAATGGGAAAGACGTTTGGTCAGGAAGATAACAAATTAGAAGCCTTAAGCATTTTCAGGCCTCTGAAGAAGATGCGGTCAAAACCTCAGGCCAACAAAGGTTTAATCTAACAACCTTGTTCGACTTGAGCAGTTAAACATAAGGCCGGAATGATCTTTCCAACTAACCTTCTTTGGACATTCCCAGTTCATTCGCATTGTACGAACTTTATTCTTTTTCAGCCAATAGGCCAACTCCTCTGAGCTTTTCTCACGATAAACTTGTTCCTCGTCTATGAGCTTCGAGAGTAGAATCTAGATTCGTGCTGCTACTTAAAGGTACGATCCACGATAAACTAGGGCTAGAACCTCTTAAATCAGGGTGACCAAAAAGTCGCGGCAATTTTTCGAAATACTTTGGTATTACGAAAAACCATTCAATTAACTTAATCAGCGAACTAAACTTTCGGAAATCTTCACTGAATCAGTAGCAATAACGGTGTACAGAGAAATCACAACATGTATTCAAAATCGCATCCTTTGACCTCAATACATTTGCTCAGTCGCTTTTCGAAGTGTCCAACAATGGTCGCGCATTCTTCTACTGTAATTTCGTCACAAGCACGCAGTAATGCTGCTTTCAAATGATCCACCGTCACGCATTGGATTCCTGAGATTTTCTGCTCCAAGATAGACCAAACGGGTAATCCATCGGGTTCAGATCAGGCGAGTTGGAAGGCCAAATGTCCTTGCCCCAAAATCCCGGAAACAGCTCTTCGCAGACGGCAATGGTGGATTTGGCAGAATGTGCTGGAGCCCAGTCTTGCTGAAGCACAAATCCATCTGAACCAAAGTGCTGCGACGTCCATGGCTTCAGTACATCGCGAAGAACGCACTGTTGATAGTTAGCAGCATTGATTTTAAGGTTACGCTCGATGAAACAAGAGGAGTTTTTCCGGTGGCACAGATCCCAGCCCAGACCATGACTGAGGCTGGAAAGTGCCTACGACCGACGGATTTCGCTGCCGTGGTCTTCTGCTGACCCTTCTTCCTTTCTTCCTTTCTTGAGTAGCTGCCTACAGTTGAACAGGCGCGATCGTGAAATTTTTTTCGCCGGTGAAGAGCACATTCCTCAAGCGACCAGCACCGAACAGACGGCGCATCCTGCTAGCTTTCTCCAGTCCTTCTCTCTTCATCACTCTCCTCTCTTCATCACTTCGCTCAGGAAATGAAGTCGACTATCTTGTAACTGCGTATTTCAGCCTTCTCGACGATATTCCTCACACTTTCTCGACCGATTCCAAGTTGCTTCGCCATTTTTCGCATGGAGACAACCGGGTTGCGACGAATTCGACAGCGCACCTTGTTGACAGTCTCCGGGGTGGTCACAGTGGTTGGGCGACCGCTCCTAGGACGATCTGCAGTCGCCCCCCCCCCTTTGTTTGAAGCGATTTACGATGTTGTAGACGTAGTATTTGCAAGTGATTGGTTAGATGACTCATCATAGTAGATCAAAATTCCGGGAATCCAAAAAACTGATCGGAGAGAAAAAAGACTACCAAAAAACGCGCCAACACAAAATTGCCAGAACTTTTTGGTCACCCTGTACAAGGTGAACCGGTTTCAGAGGTCCCACTACATACAAACTTGAAAACTAGCAGGCAAAACAGCAAAACAGAAGATCAGATTTCAGGCCCGAGCAGGTCCATGCCAGCCCACGATGCCCGTATCGTCGCAATAATGCCGTTGTGCTCTCTCGCCCGTCATTTTCTGGTCTCTCTCCGCGCTTTGCAGTGTATCGTCACCTTCTGCATATCACTGTTGATCTTGACCATCTTACTCTCGTCCAGTGATCACGATCAAGTGCAAGTAGGAGGGTCATATCGAGGGAGGTTTTTCACATATTTTTACTCACTAGTAATTACTAGCACGATGCACTCCTGTTTTTGGAATCTGATATTTACCATGTCATCATATACAGTCGCGGGGAGTACCTGTGAAAGAATGCTCCTGAGACGTAGGAATCTGGTTGGCAGGTACGTAGAATCCATCATTTACCCAAATAGTCCAGTCCGCATTCACGAAGATTCTTCACTTCGCCTCTCAAGAAGGGAGAAGGGGAAAGCGATCGTCGTAAGTATTAGGTTGTCGCATAAGTTCTTATACACGACTTTTTTGTAAATATCTCAAAAACGAACCAGCCTGGAGATTAGAGGTATGCACCATCACCATTCACTACTCGACGCCAGCGCTCAGGCAGCTTGTCGATTCCATCCTTCCAGAACGACGGAGGCTGGGACTTGAAGAAGTCGTCGAGCGCCTTTCTGACCTGATCCTTTGTTTCGAACTTTTTTCCGTCCAGATAGCGCTGCAGGTGGCTGAACAGCCAGTAGTCAGAAGGAGCGAGGTCAGGGCTGTAGGGAGGGTGGGCGACCATCAGCCATCCGTACTTCTCCAGCTCGGCCTGGGTCGCCCTTTGCAGTGTAAGTGTTGGGCGTTGTCATGGTGGAAGTAGATTTCCGCATTCCTTCCACGAGTACGGTCGACGTGATCTTTCAATTTCCGCAGCTGGGTCACGTATGTGGAAGCGTCAATCGTCTGTCCCTTCTCCAGCAGCTCCCAGTACTCCATGCCTCTTCTGGACCACCAACAGGACAGGAGAACCTTTTTGGGTGGTCGGCCTTTGGGGTGGCTTCTGGCTGTTCTCCTTTGTCGACCCACTGCCGCTTCCTCACAGGGTTATCGTAGAGGACCCACTTCTCATCTCCAGTGATCATCGAGTTGAGAAAGTGAAGCCTCTTTTGGAAAGTGAGGAGAGAAGTGCAGGTGGTCACCCTCCTCGAGAGGTCATAAGCGGACAGTTCCCCACCCATCGACCAAGCTTTGCTACCTTGCCGAGCTTTTCTAGTCCACGTGCAACCGTCGAGTGATCATAGCTAAGCATGGTCGCCATTTCTCTGGTGGTGAGGTACGGGTCCTCCTCCACGGTGGAACGTAGTACTTCCAAATCCAACTCCATCGGCCGACCCGACCTCGGAGCATCTTCGAGAGAAAAGTCTCCTTTCTTGAATTTGGCGAACCAATTCTTGCATGTCATGTAAGAGATGACGTCCTCACCGTATGTATCCACCAGCTTGGTATGGGCTTCCTTTGCATTCCAGCCGAAATCGTGGAGCAAAACCAAACAGTGGCGCAGGTACGTTTTGTCACAGTGCAAATTGTGCGACATTGTGTACTGCAAATGCAAGCTCGGTGAGTGATAGCTAGTGTAATGAAAGAGTATAATGTACACGTCACGCACACGTGATGACGTAATACCAACATCCATGCGAACGAAATAGGAGAGGATCAAACAGTATAAGAACTTATGCGACAACCCAATAGAAGTGGCACTGGCCGAGGAAGTTGCTCCACACACAAGTGGAGACGAGATACATGCCTCGCTTTTTGGATACATACTCTTTCAAGCACGGACCCTTCTTTAGAGCGTTGGTGACTGTTTTTTTTCCACTAACTTCATCACTGGTACGTCGATCTAAATCAGCGAATCCATATTGGGCGCAAAACCCACTAATTTTGAATCGGAATTTGCCTTCAGTGCACATTTCTTGGGGTGTCTATCGCTAGTCCCGAGTCGCGACAGAAGAAGCGTTGCAAGCAGGCAACGCCATCGCCTGTATAAAATTCCTGCAGATACGCCCCCTCTACTGAACGAAGGTCTCGGTGAATCCCCCTCCCCCTTCTCCCGAAAAATGGGATGATACTGAACCAGGTAAGTGATTTTTGAACGTTCCGAGTTGGACTGGAGCAACGCTCCTATAGCTATAGCGCTCCTATAGATTATAGCTCCTTTACACTTCTAAATGAGCCCTGCGCTCACGACCCCCTACCTCGTAGTCAAATATGACCCCCCCCCCGTTGTGATTACCACAACGATGGCGAGTCCTGACTGAAAGCCGGTTCGCGTCTGCAGCACTCGCAACGGAACCCGTTTCATTATTCTAGCCCCTGACTTGACACACTCTGGCACTGACATGCGATTACGTCCAGATGTGAACGTTTACATCGTCTCGTTCCTCCCGCCGCAACTGGAATTAACTGATGTACACTGCTCTTACTGTAAGCTAGTACTTGGGCTTTAAGGACGTATTGTCGAAGCGGGTAAGCGAGTGTTACAGTGTTGTCACTCGCTCGCTCTAATAACTGGTGGAGAACGGGTTTGACACCGCGATAAACTCATCCCGCCTGACACGCCCTTTACGCAGCAAACCAGACTCTGTACTAGAGATAGCTTACTGTAGAGTTGTTTCATGTACACTTGAGTCAGTTGCAGGTTTAAGGTAAAAAGTTACCTTAATTGTTTCAACGCCTGCTTTCTCCATCTGACATCGCCACAACATTGTTCGACAGAGCTTTATCCGTGTGTGTAAAAGGTCTTTCCGTGCAAATACTTTTAACAGCATACTAACCAACTCTTTTTGCTCCCTGAATGAAGTCCTTGGTATAGCTAATAATAAAGAATACTAAAGATGAACAAGAACCGGGTTGGTACCCCTTTTGTATGGCTTAACTTCCCCTAACGTAAGGAGCAAGGTCTACCGAGCAGATGTTCTCGGAATGAAGTACTTGGAACTTTCGTAGTAAAGGAGCAAGCGTAAGATGAGGATGTTTGCGTGAGGTGTACTATGAGAGATGAGATCTCGAGCAACATCATGGCCCCTGAAAGGGACAGCAGTCGCTTGTCATGGAGCGTCGTGACGGTGCAGGAAGTCAGTCTCCAAATGCCGGAGATTCGGTTGGGGCACACATTGGCGTGGCTCCCACAACATCCTTAATTCATGTGTAGACCTCAGATATCAGGTTAGAGATCCACATTGCGGTGTTGCGTTGCCAATGGAGTCACTAACCGAACGCTCGCAACAGAACCGAACTGATCTAACGAGACAGCATGTTGGGTCACTCAGCTAGTAAGTGTCATAATTATAATATGTGTAATTTAAAGAAATAGTCAGAATATGCGCGTCAGCACAACGTAGATTTCACAACCGATAAATGATAGCGCATTCGATACGCGTAGCATACAAGAATATTGTACCCCTTCGCCGTTGTAACACCTAGCCGAGGTGCAGATGCCGATCCAGACGCCCACCGCAACCGTCCGCCCACAGCTAACCGGACAGTCACATCACGCTGGTACTCTTATCGCTTCATTTATAAAG